ATACCGCGGTGAGTAGCAGGTCGGTTTGCTCTTCTTTGCTTAAAATAAGCCTATACCACGTTGTGATATGACAATTCCAGGCCCGAAGGCGGGAAAAGACGGTAAGGGCCAGAGTGTTGCAAAGGTCATCTGGGGTGGGACTCATTATGATCCAGCTTGCATAGATAGCAAGTAAACCATATGTGAGACGGGAGGAAGAGAAAAGGGGCATCTCAACGGAAACGTCGAGTGAAAACACTTATCGAATTCGAAAGAACAGAAATGGGGAATCTAAAGTCATGTCTCATAAAACATTTTTGTTTCGAATAAGATGATCATATTCCGTAACTAGCATGCCGGTAAGAAACCACGACCGCCGCGAATTTGAATCATTTACTCGGAGGGGACTGCGAAACAGTTAGTGCCAAAGTCTCGGATGATATGGTATGGAGGTGGACATACTGTCGATCTCGCCAGCCTTGACGTCGTCGGAGACGTCCTTGGGGCTGCGGCCATCGACCTGGCAACCGACAGAGAAAGCGGTACCGAGGATCTCGAGGACGGTACCCTTGAGCTCCTTAGCAAGAGAGCGGTGGCGCATCTTGCGGGCGATCTCGATGATCTCGTCCAGAGGGATGGACTTGCTGTGCTTGATGTTCTTCTCCTTCTTGCGGTCACGGGGAGGCTCCTTGAGGGCCTTGATGACCAGGGAAGAGGCGGAGGGAACAACGGAGACAGCGGCCTGACGGTTCTGGATGGTCAGGCGGACGGTGACACGGAGACCCTTCTATAATACCCAAAAAGATGCCGTTAGCACTGTAACCTCCTATACTCGCTCCGGACGCCGCGCTTACCCAGTCACCAGTGTTCTTGGCGATATCTTCACCGATCTTCTTGGGGGACAGACCGAGAGGACCAATCTTGGGGGCCAGAGCAGACTGGGCACCGACCTCACCACCAGTCACTCTCAGGTGGCTAGTAAAATCGTTAGCAGCTGATCAAAATAATGCGCCGAGTGATAACTCTTCAAGATTTGCAACTTACATGATCTTCACCTCATTGGGGTCGAACTTGGGAGCTGCCCAATGGGATACATATTAGTTCGCCTATTCGATTTCACCAAGGAGATGATACTTACGCATGGCGAGTGCGAAAGGTCGTCAATCGTCCTTGGAAGGTGTCGGGATGGTTGGTACGAAGAAGGAAAGAAAAAAGCTGTCGAGGCCGGAAGGTTATTTAGCTGCCGTTGCGCCTGCGCTAAGCGAGACCCAGAAGCGGTAAGTCTGGTAGGGCTCAACCCAATCCATCACGTGACCTCAATCAGGACAATGGCTGTCTTCCCGAAGCGGTAACTACTATCTATATTAGATAGTAACTACTAGATACGTAGCACTAAATGTCAAAATGATGCTAAATGATCCACTTCTTGATCCACTCATATTACGATATTTTGTTTGTATTCAATTGGTGAATCTAGGTAGTTGCTATATTCCAGGGTAACGAACAAAAATCAATAACCGCTAAAGATACAAACGACCCGAGGACTGGCGCAAACCGCCCCTTGCTCTCGTCATGGCCATTACCTCGTCAAATCTAGCTGGTTCCGGAAACAGCAAGCCTAGGGTACAGGTTAGCAACTGCTTTGATGTGTGTGTTGATTAAATAAGGACTTACTTCATGAGATGGTCCATGAAAGTCTGCAACGAGACATCATCAGTGAAGATGGTCTGCGACGTCACACCTCCGCCGTATCCTCCTGTCGTGTGGGTGGTAGATGGGTTCAGCTTGGACAAAAGGAAACGAGCCTGGGAGCCACCAGCATCGCAAACGATGAAACGGGGCAGTGGGAAACGGTCGGAAATCAATTCCTGTGTAGACTAGTTAGCGTGTATCTCGACAAGTTCGATATTGCATGGAACTAACCCTAGCGTCTTCCTTTGGTTGCTCAAGGAGCACCTTCAGGTTCTCGTAGCCCTCCTGATCCTGGTAACCAGCCTTCCTCCATTCCGCGATGGTCTCGCCGTGGAAGATCAGGATGTGGAAGAAAGTGTCCAGAAGAAGGATGTGAGCGGGCTGGATAGAAGCCGAATCCAAGAGCACAGGCTGGCTTCCTTCGTGTTCAAGGGAGTAGGAATCCAGAGTTGGCTGAATCATAACAAGAGAGTCGCCAACATCTTCGTGGTTAAGCACATGCCGGTAGAAAGCAGTCTCGTCAGGCGAGTTGTTGAATACCTGCAAGAACTGGCTTCGGCGCAGATGGAACATAAATTGAGGGTAGAGAGTGAAGTTCTTCTCCAACCGGAAAGACGTCGGGTCATCTTTCCGGTAGTCGGCGAAACGAGAGCAGAGTCTGATGAGCATCCGGTCAACCCATCTGAGCACATCAGGGCCATCGTCAACTTCAGCCTTGAAGACAGCGATGCGGGCCATCAACACGGCAGCTGCTTCCTGGTCGAAAGACTGCGCCAGTGTAGGGTCACCGGCAGGACCGCTGAGGGGCCGCGCGACCGTCGTGACCCGAAGGTGGTAGTGACCCGACGAGTGCTGGTAGTATGTGAGGAATTGCATCATTCCTCTCTGAGGGCCTGGTTGCACTGCTGCAGGTCCACCCTGGTTTGCTATTTCGAAGTAGACGCCGTAACTTGAGGCAGGGTCAATTCCACACATCTTCCATGCGCAAGTGTTACCGATACCACATTCCGTTTCGCCGACAGAGCTCGACTTCTTGTTCAGGGAAACAGCGTGACCGATAAGACCGGTGACCTTGAGCTCCTTGGTAGTTAGCACCTCAAGAGATGCGTTGAAGCCCATGAGTAGGTTGTCGTTGGCATCCTTGTCGAATATCCTGACGAAGGACTGCTTGAATTGTGAGGAGGTGAAGCTGTCTGTGAGAAGAATATGTCCGCCGGTGTAGTTGGCAAGGTTCTTCATCTCCAGCATACCGACCTGATCGAGACAGCCGGCAAAGACATCAACAATATGTCCGTTGTTGGCAGCACGCTTAGCCATGTTGTCATAGAACTGGATACATCATTAATACTGTGAAAGCATTTAAACGAAGTCGGATCAGCACGCACCTTAACAGCCTTCTTGTAATATTTGATGTTATCGCGGTCAATATCGTGGTGTGAACGGATGGGTTCCTTCAGCTCAGGACCGACGACGTGACCGGGACCCTCAGTGGCCGGTCCGCTGGTGAAGACCATAATGCGGCCACCAGCATTCTGGAAGGAGGTCTCGAGCAGACCCACGGCGACGCTGAGAGCAACACCAGTGCATCTGAGAGGTCGCTTGTCGTTGGCAACAGGCCACGGGTCACGTTGGAGCTGTTCGAGCACGTTGGTGATCTGGAACTCGGCCTGCTGAACGGGAAGGAGGAACCGTGCCGCAGGGCCAAGCGGGGGACGCGCGGGTTGCTGGGGCATGTTCGGGCGAACTCCGGAAGCAAGACCAAGCATCTCCTGGACCTGCTTCGCGGCGTATTCCTTGCTGCCGCGGAACACATAGGACTTGGCGCACTCGGTGTAGCCGAGCTCATGTACTTGTGCCTGTAGTTCACGGTCAACAACACATCCTAACATGAACCAAATGTAGATAGATGGTTGTATATCCCTACCATTGTACCGTATGTGATCAGACCAACCAACGCGTTCACAGGCAGCAATGACAGACTCATGATCAGAGAGTCCTTCAGGGCCTTCAGACTGTCATCGTCCTGGCAGGTATCGACAACATAGACGAAGATAGGGGGAGCAGGGGCGGGGCGTGCCAATTGGTACTCGATTGTCGTGCTCATGGGGTGAAGCTCTGGGGGTATCGTGCTCTCCGTGATATCCTTGTAGTGAGGGGGCAGGGGGTTGCGCATAAGGCAGAAGGGGCATATCCAGATGCGGGCCCGAACGTCAACGTTGCTATGCGATGTCAGCCAAGTCGTTCATGTTGCCATGCCTGCTAACAGTTGAGAGGAAGCCATACGCATAAGGATTCAGCACCGCCCGACAAGGTGCCTTGCAAGTGACGGGCTCATATTGTAGCAACGGAGAGTCTGGCTTCTCCTTGAGGGGTGTGTAGACGGCACCGATGGGGACAACAAGGCGGGATGCTTCCTGTCGAAGCATAAGTTAGCAGAAATGGGCAAGAGGGTCCCATAGAGCAGACGAACCATGCGAGAACTCGGAAACGTGTTCCAGCTGAGTCTGATGCCATCGCGATCCTCGACATCACTCCATTGGTCCTTCAACGCTTCGTAGTCCATGTTGGCGGCCTGGGGGGAACGGGGATTCCGTAACTGGAAGATAACGAGGGGAGATCTAATCGGGCAGGAACAGGGCCAGAAATAACAAATATAGACAACGCAGACCGGTTTGCAGGAGGTCCCTCCTATATCACAACCCAGTCACGGAATGGGCAACGCCAGCAGCTGTTGTCCGGAGACTATGCGGGGATCAGGAGACTGTTGTGTGAAGCGGCACCTGTTGCCATAAGGCCAGGTTGCAGCATCACTGGTCGCTGCGGGCACCCGTACACCGCGCTAGTGTGTTTTAAATACCCGCTCATCTTCCTCCACAACAGTTTTTCTTTCTTTTTCTTTCCATATATTCTTCACAACGCCGACTCCTTTCCTTCTCTATGGCAGCTTCCATCCACTCAGTTGGTGATTTTGTCTAAAGTGTCGAGCGAAGAGTAAATTAGACCCGTTGCTGGGCACCTGGCTTTGAAAGGACGTTTTGTTCCTTTTGGATAATTTGGGAATCAGCTGTGGTCACATGCCCTTCTATCAATCACCGTTACTGTAGTAGATATACTCGTAAAAAGAGCCATTGATGTGCGCTTTGAATGAATTGTCTCGGTGCATTCCATGCTCTTAAATTTACATAAACTATCTACCTAAAATGTGACCAAACGCATCCTCCCATTTCCAAAAAAAGCCTGACCCGGAACGCCCGTATGGTGGAATATTCGCAAACCGACAGCCAAAATGCAAGAAAGGAACGTGGCTTCGTGGACCTATCACAATGACGTTAGGCATCCTTGGGTGCCTTTCCCATTTGCTTCAAGAGATAGCTGCGCTTGAAGTAGGTATTGGGGTGCACGATGGTGTCAAGGTCAGTTTGGTTCCATGTACCGTCTTCCTTGACTCTCTTAATATCTGCTTTGTGGGTATGTTCGAAGACCCTGTTGCAAGCGATATGGAACCGCATTTTGTCGACATCCTCTCGCACTCCACGTAGGACGTCTCTGTCATTGACTCCTGTAGACTGAAGAAGACCGATCAAATTGTCGACAGAAAAGTGGCGGTACGGGCAGCCATGGGTCTGTCCAACTCCCGGATTTGAATCACCCAGGATCTTTTGGCAGGAGTACGGAGGGTATCCCCGGCCTCTGCGGTTCTGATCACCACCCACATCGCCGTAAGCGTGGCGGATATTGTACTTGTACCGCGAGTTGAATTCGTCGTCGGTGAGCCCTTTGAAGCCTTGACGCCAAAACACAATACACTCTTCCAGCGACAATCCAATTCCCTTGAGGAAGAGGGTATATTGCAGTCGTCCGTAATGCTTCAAGTGGTTGTTCTTGCGTAGGTTCATGTGAAGACTGCGCATACATAGTGGAAAATGCTGAGATAGTCGGTCGATGTTGTTCGCAGTAATCGGGGCGCCATCAACAAATCCTTCGTTCTCCGTGTACACCGACTCGGCGCTTCCAAAGTTCTTCGAGAGGTGATTGAGAATCGGGGTGAGGCGATCATCTTCATCCAAGCGCGGCAACGCCCGGCTTGTAAGCTAGCAGACGTCAGTGCCATATAGCAGTCCATAGCCACCGTTTTCACATACCTCAAGAGCACGCTCCAATCGAGCCGTAAACTCTGCTATGATCATGCTGAGTTGCTCCCTACCAGGCACGTACGCTTTTCCCTTGGATAGGAAAACAGCCCGTTTCTCTACCAACTCGGGGACTTTCTCCCAGTCCACCTTGTACCAGGTCTCATCGTCAATGCGACGTAGACCCGGGGAGGCGGCGAGCAATTGTTCTGCCAGCCTTTGTTTCTCCTCATCATCCACAGGCTCCCAGTCGAGATTGAGACTTTCAATGAAAGCGCGTCGTTCTCTGGTGTCGTCGCGTTGGAAGCGGAATCTGAAAAGCATAGTTTCTGCTCTCACGAAACGCCGACGGAGTTCTTCTGTGGCCGAAAAGGCGAGGCGTAAGATGAAGTGGGAGTAGTGATCTTTCTGGCGTTCATTTTTCAGTCGTTGATCTGCCGCACCGTTGGAGGAGGATGTGTTGGAGGATAGAGGGAGGTATTTTTGGAGGTGAGGTGTGATATGCGCTTCGGTCTCTGCCGGCGACTTGTTTCGATAAGAACAGGCTTCGATTTCAGCCAAGACTGTCAAGGATTGTGAGTATTTATAGTATACTGGGATTGTAAATTGAAGAACCTTTCAATCGATCAATGGCCCATTGCTCGAATTGTTCGAGGGTGATCTCGTCGGTCGGGGGTATTTCATAGAAGTTTAAGCGATGCGGATAGTCCTGTTGCTTGAAGACCGGAGTCGCGAATTGTTTCTTTTTGTGGTCGAGGGTTGCCCTTCTCTTTGGGTCAATTCGGCGAAAATCTTGCCGGATCATCTTGCTTTCTAACAGCGATTTGGACGCTATTGAGGTGTTTGGTCGTTGCTTGATCTGCTGCAGTTCAGCAACACCTACTACTGGATGGCCCATCGCGCGACGGACGCGAAACGCGGGCAAGACGCGCCACGATCACGTGATACATAACTTAATGTAATGCTCGATTGGGACATGTCAACACCGCAGTGGTGCAGCAGGAATACCGGGCTAATTGATGGGGTAAAGACCACAAGGAAGTGTGTACTACTACTGAGCTGCGTCTCAAATGTACCACTTGAAGCAAGCTCTAGTATGATACACGCATGTGGGATATATTGCTGGACTTCGCCGGTAGTGTCACTACAAGCTAAGAAATAAAGCCATATGGTCGGGACAGCCAGCATCATTCTCTTTCCCTCTGCCAGCTACTAGGTATCTAGTATCTGTATGCAGTAGTCCTCTCCTACATACCATAGTTGCTACGCTTAATGGACGGAATCACTGTGAAAATAAAAGCCGAGGCTCACTGTAGAGACACCCTATACTCCGTACTCTACTTCCAAAATTAGCTCGACAACGTAGCATGTGAGACAGTAAACATGGTCTGACCCTCTGCATGGTACTTGTCTTCGTCCGAATTCATAGTTAAGTCAATTGCAACGCCAAAAGCCGACATTTCCATGTGTCGGTAAACGCTCCGATCTCCGCTCACCGATTTCCTAAATGGGCAACCATCTACAAACCCCACGGAAGGGCGTGCTTTCCCCGGCTTGAGATTTGTCGACGTATCAGCTGAGCACCGACCTGGCCCGATAAGCTGTGCAAACTATTATCTTCCTCTACCAGTCCTGCATCCCTGCCTACACTCTCTCAACTGTCTCCCTGAGCCGCAATGGAGATAATATAGTCTGCCCGCCGTTCCTCCATTTTCCCCAAACTAATTGTTGAGGTACCCGCCTTTCTCCCTACCTTCAAATACTCAACGACGGCTGCACCAGAGCACCGAATTGCCTCCAACCCCGAGACTATATCGCAAACCTCATAACTGAATAGCGCGCGAAATGACCGCTACAATCCGGCAGCTCAGAAAAGCAGCCCGAATCATTCTCGTCGGTGCTCCTGGAGTCGGCAAAGGTACGCAAACTGAGCGGCTCCTCGCCAGATATCCAGAGCTCGCCTCTATTAGCTCCGGCGACCTTCTGCGCGAGAATGTCCGCAGAAAGACCCCTCTAGGTAAGTGACCTTGAGTTTGCAAGATGCTTGGGAGGCAGGATCTGTCTAACGGATTCCGCACTCAGGCCTTCAAGCAGAAGCCACAATGCAGTCCGGCAACCTTGTCCCCGACTCGATGATCCTCGACCTCATATCCTCTGAATTCAAATCACGCGGCTGGCTCTCGTCAGCGCCAAGTTCATCAATAATTCCCTCTGCATCTTTTATCCTTGACGGCTTTCCGCGCACTGCGACCCAGGCTTCAAGCCTAGAAACCATCGTTCCCGTGAACTTCGTCGTCCACCTCGTCACACCTCCTTCCGTCATTCTCTCTCGGATCGCGTCGCGCTGGGTACACGAGCCATCCGGGAGGGTTTACAATACCGATTTCAATGCGCCTAAAGTTCCTGGCAAGGATGATGTCACAGGGGAGCCTCTGACTCAAAGAGAAGATGACTCGATCGATACGTGGAAGCAGCGCTTGCACAAGTTTGAAGAAACGAGCAAGGCATTGTTAGAACACTACCAGCGCAAGGGCTGTCTATGGCGTGTCGAGGGCGACACAAGCGACGAGATCAGTCCGAAGCTTTTCGCAGAGATTGAGCGGCAGTTCTGCTAGAGTTTCTCCACCTGATGGTTTCCCAACCTCAACCCGGTCCTATATACCTTCTTGTACTATATATCGGTTATATTCTGACTCTATGCTTGTTGGCGTCGCATCCCTGCAGTCCTAGAAGGGCAGCAGATGGGGACACTGCTATTTTTGTACCACTTCTTTACACACAGACACAGCTGGCATCTTTTCGTGGACGAGTTAAACCTAATGATCAGTCTAACGATGTTAATGAGTGCCGCAATGATAATGGATGACCAGATATTCGTCTATATTATCCCAAATATACAACCAAAAGATCAGCTGCGCAATGCAGAGAGACACATAACGACGGGGATATCTATCAGTATCAGCCGTATCATCATCAAAACTTGTACATCATGCAAACACACCCCAAAGTACACAAACGCCCCCATTGCGAACCGCAAGCACAACACAATCATTAACAAGAACAAGTAAAACCCCCACCGGGCCTACTTCTTCCCCTGCCCCCCATCCTCCATCCCCGTCCTAGTCTTAAACTCCCTCGGACTCTCCCACGTATCCCTATCCTTCTTAAACCCCTTCCACAGCCCCAACCCCCTCGCCTTCGCCCACCACTCCGCACTGCGATACTTCTTCTCCATCACCTCACCCCCAAACTCCGCCCCAACCTTCGCCTCATACACCGTCGCCAACCCCTTCCTCAACATCTCATATCCGACATCGCGCCTCCGAAACGGAATCGGGAAATCCAGCGCCCGTCGCACAAACACCGTCGCCACCACCCGCTGATACTGGTCCTGTCGGTGCACATAGATCCGCACGCGCCGGCCTGTCAAGTACCCCGTTAACCACTCGTGGGCTTCTTTACCGAAGGGTTGCGCGGGGCGTCCGAAATGCGCTTGTTCGGGGGCGTCGACGCCGGCTAGGCGGACGTGGATCTATTCCAATACCAGTGTCATGTTAGCTACAGACCACTCCCCTATGGTATACATGTAAATAGTATAAGGGCATACAGTCTGATCCCTCAATTCCTTCCGCGTCGTGGGAACCTTCTTCCAGGGTACCCAACCCCAACCTGCGAGTCTACCACCAGGTGTATGATAGATGCGGAAGTTGTCGCCATCGCCCACGCTGGTTACTTTTCCCAGGATACTCCGCCGACGGTAATATGCGGGCGTGATGTTGACGGCTGTGGGGAATCGACGGAGGTAGGTCCGGTGCAGGGTGAAGGCGCTGAGGATGCCGGTTGTGAGGACTAGTGTTGGGATGAGGGTGCGGAGTTCGGTGTAGGCGCTCCAGTCGAGGAGGTTCTTGGGGTCGGTTTTGTTGTCTGTGGTGGTGGGGTGGTCATTGTTGGTGGCTTGCGCGTTGGAAGTCCATGGCGGCCATCGCATGACGGCTCATGCTAGGACTTCTGCTTCCTATTTTTGGTGTGGGGGTTGCGCGGTAAAGCGCCGGTTTGGAGGTGAGTATGGGAATTGGGTGTGTATTTGGTATTGGGGGAATTAGGCTTAGGGAGAGGAGAGTCTCCGGTTTGATGTTTATTCGGGCCGTACGATGATGAGCTGTTGCCGAGGTGAAAGTTTGGCGGTCAGTGAGCTCCTTTTACCCCGGGGGCGGAGGAGTGGTGGCTGCATATGGTAGTTATCTACGTTTAGAGAATCTAAATTATTGGTCTTACGAAAGTTCACTGGTACCCCTAATATGGTTTTGGGGTACAGCGCAACCTGTCAGCACCTTTATTCGCAATGCGTAGATCCTTTTGATGCTATTGTATGTTCTAGATATTGAGCTGTTATTATCTATAGACAACTGCAGTAGTATCTTCGGTCATACCAGAAACTGACAAGACAGACGAAATCCCACAACCAGTGCGCCGCAGTGAGAAGAAACAAATTCGTACAAAAAGAGAATGGTAGTTACCGTGCCATAAATCAATCAATCAAACGTCTATTTGAGGGTCGCGGGAAGACTGGTCTTTGCTGTCGATGCAGCGGAGTCCGCCAGCTTCTTGAGCTTCTGCTCTCTAATCTTCCGCAAGTACGCGAAAAGAAGAACGAAAATGAGTTCAACCCTGGTCGCTGTCAGCATGTGATTGCGCCTCTTCATCCAGACTAAACATACCTCTCCTTAGTCATCATCAAAAAGCCTTGTACCAGGAGTCCCTTCATGATCTGGGGTCCAATTCCCTTGAAGAGGGACAGGAGACCCTCATTCTGCACAATATATCGCATGACCTCGCCGAATGTTTTGAAAGGCTTTCCTTCGCGACCCGGAGGTGGGCGAGACTGAAGGCCGACCTTGGCCACAATCAATGGTTGCGTCGCAATAGTAGCTAGCGCCTTGGAGAGAGCGCCGAGGACTGCAAAAGTAATCGGATTAGCTCACGCCATATAGGTGGTGATAGATATACTTACGGAAAGCTTCCCAAGGCTTCAGGTTGTTCTTCCCTGGGAAGATGATATCTTTGAGGCGCTGATAGGCGCCGTATGTGATTGCCGGGTTGACCACCAGGATCAAACTAGCTTTGAGTCCTCTCCATAGACCAGTCCAACCATCTTCACTATCGACAATCTCCTTTCCAGTTTCAATCAAGCCCTTCCTCTCGCTCTTGTCTTGTGTCTGTTGCCGTGTGGTGATTACGGCAACGGGAATAGTGAAGATCTGGGCGACCGCGCCCGCCACGGCACCGAGGGAAAGTTCAATGGCAGTTCCAGGAGGTTTAGGAACCTTGTTGGATGCCATGTAGAAGGCCCTCACAACGGTGTACCAGTAGAAGTAGGCGAAGTTGGTGGACGCCACACCGATGAGAGAGCCGGCGATTCCGGAGTATAGGCCTTCGATTCCTTCCTTCTCGACAATCTTGGTGATCGCATCTAATGTCGATTTATAGTGAACTGTTTCGGAATTCTCGTCTTTCGAGTCGCTTGTCTTGACTTGTACTTGGAGTTTCGTCTTGACACTGTGCATTGACGCATGCTTATTAGCGTAAATTCTCCTTTTCGGGGTTTAAAGCGACAACAGGTACTTGCATACAGATCAAGAGGGTAGACCAAAGCGTTTGCTAGAACTGCACCTGTAGCACCCGCGACGGCACTTCCCCAAGGGGAAAGTGCGGGCTTCGACTGGCCGGCCATTATTGTGACGAGATGAATTAGTTGGTAGATTGAATGGATGAGATATTTGGCGTAACGTGAAATGCGAGAAGAATATCGACCAGCGTCCCAAGCCGTTTATTGAAACACTTTAACCGAAATGCCAGTATCGGACTTATTACCTGAGAATAATATGGCGGTGCGGAATAATAATTGGCGATATTTCGGAGCGGGGACTCCCAGGAGAGCCTAGCAGCTCACAGGGTGGAATGATCGGAGGGTGACAGAAGAGAATGTCTGGGCTGTGCGAAAGAACTCTGGCGACCGTAGTGTTCACAGTTTGAAGCGATCACAGGCGAAGTGGTGTTGAGTGCCTGGTTTCAGGGACTGGTCAGTGACTGACAAAACCAGAAGCCCGGCAAGAAGCACTATGAGGGCAGGGATACTCCGAACAAGCAAGTCAAGGCAGATGAACCTCGGCGCAGCGATGGCGCGCATGACGAAACGAGCCTCGGTCCGATGGCCGGCCTGTTGATCGTTATCGCTTTGGGTCACCCACTGTTTCCTGCCCACTGCCGTCTCTCCCCACCGACACGCGACGGTTACCAACTCCATACTATCTAGTACCACCATTCACCAGTTCGCCTGCCACCATTCACACTTCATCTGCCGACCTTTTCTTTGGTGTTTCATCTTCCTGACTAACCCATCTAAAGTTTCCTTATCTTTGGGTTATCTGGAAGTGCACGTTCCCCTTGTCTATTATTGCTTTGGGTCTGGCACATTCCTTAAGGTAGTGGACCTCGGATGTCATCATCGGAGATACTAGGTCCCCTTCGGCATGATCATCAAGTAGTGTATTACTGCCTCACATCTGATAGGTGCTAGCCGAATCTGCAGTAGTTGCAGAGAGGCTGGTTCAGCAGTATGTCTAGACCGAACGCTGCATCTACAAAGTTCTTAGTCAACCAGGCCTTGGTAACTATTCTACTCTTTTCTACTTCCAGCTCGGTGTCGATCACCACCATAGAGGTTCTTCGGACTAACCAGTAGCCAGAAAGCTGAGCGAGATGCATCTAGTGCTGTTACTCAAGGCCAGGCCCTTGAGTCTGCTATCGACGCCGCCGAAAATTACATGAAGGCGTTGAGTCTGACAACCGAATCAAAGGATAGACAGGCTCTTGATGCGAAATGTAAGGAATGGCTCACACGGGCAGAAAAGATCAAACAGAACAAGGACTGGCAGGCCGTTGTCCAGATTCAAGAGAAAAGCGGTCTCACGGCGCGATTTCCCAAATCCACACGTAAACTTACCACACGTGAGGAGATTATTCTGCTTGAGAGCGCAAAGCTCAATGGCTTTATCTTTCCTCCATGGAAAAATGCCCCGGGCCCCGAAGATTTTGAGAAGGGAGTTGAAGGGCTTTTTACGTACGTCTATCTAGTCCCTGATATTGGAGGCATCGTCAAATGTTGATTTCCAGATGCTGACTGGGTCCAGTGACAAGCCAGACCTCCACCTGTCCAAACAGCAAAGGCGCATTCTGGCAGGCTGGGAGCGTCCCTCTGAGCTGTTGTCTAAGCATGCAAACAGCATACATGGCCTGAAATCAAGAATGCCTGTGATGTCGGTTTCAGGCACTACAGATCTCGTCCAAGATATGTTGACCGACTGCTCCGTCGTTGCCAGTCTCTGTGCTGCTACATCAAGGTCGGAGCGTGGTCTAGATAAGGTATGATGCTCTTCAACATGACACTCCTGCAAGGAACATGCTCCTAACAATTACAGCACCATCTTCCCATCGTTTTCCCCTGCGAATACGGGCAGGTAAATCCAATGATTTCCCCTTCAGGAAAATACATATTCCGCTTTTATTTTAATGGATGTTTCAGAAAAGTTGTCATTGATGATCGCTTGCCGGCGTCAAAAACAACAAGATCACTTCATGTTGTTGATCGAAATAATCCTAACTTTCTGTGGCCGGCCTTTGTAGAAAAGGCGTATCTGAAGCTTCGCGGGGGCTATGACTTTCCTGGGAGCAATTCTGGTACAGACTTGTGGGTCTTGACAGGCTGGATTCCCGAGCAGGTCTTCCTCCATCAAGATGATGTAACTGCAGAGCAACTCTGGAGGCGGCTATTCAAGCGCTTCCGGCATGGCGATGTCCTACTGACGATAGGTACGGGCAAATTAACCGAGAGGGAGCAGAAAGAACTAGGCTTAGCGAGCGAACATGACTACGCTATCTTGGATATGAGAGAGCAGAGAGATCGTCGCCAAATGCTTGTAAAGAACCCATGGGCAGGTGACGATGCCACCACCGGAGATATCGCAGACAGTTTCGGACTTGGACATACATCTCACACCCCTGCGTCCTCCTTACCAAGGACCTACTGGATGGATTGTGAGAGTGTCTTACAAAACTTTGAGAACCTGTATTTGAACTGGAATCCGGGAATCTTTCGCTATCGGGAAGACATTCACTTTACATGGGACCTTTCAACTGCCAAAGGGGTGGCTGGCTGCTTCGCGAAAAACCCCCAGTTTGCTATTACCTCTGAGATTGGCGGTAATGTCTGGCTACTGCTTGGGAAGCATTTCAGGTCGATTCATCATGATGAGCAAAACCAAGTGCCCCAAGACGATCTGGAACCAGGATTCATTAGCATCTACGTGTTCAACGCAAATGGAAAACGAGTGGCATTAAGTGAAGGAGCCCTTCACCGCGGTCCATACGTTGACTCGCCAAATACCCTCATGAGACTGGAAATGCCTCCAGGCACGACCTACACTGTCGCGGTTTCTGAGCAGTCATTACCCGCTGTCAGCCAGAACTTCACATTGTCGGCTCTGTCCGACAATCCCTTGCTCTTGGCGCCTGCCCAGAACCGATACGCTTGCCTGACAAAAACTCAGGGAATGTGGATGCCTTCCACGGCAGGAGGAAACGCCGAATCTGCCCGCTACCCGTTTAATCCTCAGTTCCGACTCGAGGTTCATGACGATACAGATATATCAATTCTGCTGGAACCATCGGAGCCGGAGCTCGCTACGCATGTCAAGTTGTTCTGGTCCAATGGACAGCGTGTGACTAGGGTTCGGAACCGCGATATCATAACCGATAGCGGTGATTACCGGCGTGGCGGGTCTCTTGCGGAAAAGAAGAGACTCGGCGAAGGAGTCTACACGCTCGTCTGCTCAACCTTCGCCCCGGACCAACTTGGACGGTTCACACTCTGGATTTCGTCGGCACTACCGTGCGACGTGAAGCCGCTTGCACCAGAGGCAGCAGGGCGACGAGCGGTCATATCTGATATCGGGGTCTTGACTCCTGGGAAAGATCGGATGCTGGCATCCTTGGAGACCAATCGCTTGACCCGCATTAAGCTGATAGGACGGAGCAGAATGTCTACGATCGGAAATCGCGCCGTTGGCCCGTCTCCAATGTTGATGACAGTAGAGCTTGGTCAAGGGCCGTACAAGGAGATACTGGCTACTTCTGAAGATGGGAACCATAGTGATGCGATATCTGGAGTACGAATTGAGGACTTCGATCTGCATCCGGATCTCGCAGATCAGGGTGGAGCCTGGATAGTCATTGAGAGAATTGGAGGACCTGGGGGACAAGTTGAGGACCACTTTGAAGTCGAAGCTTTGGCCGAGGAGCGGGTGGATATCGGCGAATGGATCGTTGAGGATGCATGATTGATTGATAATTCTCTTAACTTTGGCGGAGGGTTCTTTGCAGGACTAGCATGGGTTAACCGGCGTGGGAAACGGCGTGAAGTCTTGCAATATCTAGCTTTGACAATTAGCTACATACTCTGACCAGGAAAATAACATGATCTATGTGGTTGAGGTAATCTTTGATTTACATGTTGTGGTAAACAATGTAGTATATAGTACAACTATGGGCCGAGGCCGAAGTCAGGAACGCTAGGCCGACCCGAGACCAGCTTGGCGCAGTTCCACCTCCAACGTCATCCCCGCCCTGCATCGTGCATCTTCCTCCTGCATCCTGACCGTTGCAGCTCTGACCTCCTGGACGTCAGCGTCCCACCCAACCCCATGGCGAGCAATATCCCCGCTAGTTTGAGATCCGCCGACATTGGGCGGTACGCGTTGCGGGCGGCTCAGCTCGAACGCGCGAAGCCCGTTGTTGCCTACTGGTGTAAGTGCTGTTGATTGCGCATGTTGCTGCTCAAATGGAAGGCCACATAAACTGACTAATGTTCGCTTCTCGATTACAGGTAACTTCTGGATTGTTAATCAGATCATCGGACGGGGACTACACACTTCCGACGACGATGTCAAGCTATACACAACGGACCTGGTGGACAAGCTGGAGCAGGTACGTCGGGCGCAGGACACCCCCGCTACGATGGCGCGCACTTCCCAAAGACTTACACATATCCCGTCTGAATTCAGTTCAAGAGTGAAAATGTCGATAATGATGCGGTAACCGATGCGGTGGCAGCCAATGCGTACGTGGAGCAGTTCGGATTGGAGGTCCTTGGCCGTGCGGAGGCGACAATGAAAGCCAATAAAGTGACCAAGTGGGTTGTTTTCGTGAATTAATACCCGCACCAAAGCTGACCCGGTATTAGACAGACGGCCGATACGTTCCAAGCTGCTGCTACGTTCCTCGAATTGTGTCAAATTTGGACCAACCCTCCGGAACCTGAGATCGCCGCGAAGATCAAGTTCTGCAAGTACCATGCGGTGAGGATCATAAAGGCTATCAAGGCGGGAGAGGATCCTAATGCGTCCAACCCGGCGCCTACTGAGGAAGATGAACTTGAAAGTGAACTTAGGGGAATGGAGGCCAAGCAGGACGATCCCGAAGTGCAGGCCATCGTGGGATCGTCAGCCGCACAACCTGGGCAGCCTTCTGTTGAAGAGGTCCCTGATGAGTCTATGCAACCTTCACAATCACCTCTCAGTCTCCCGCAACCTCCGACCACGTTTGCCGATGTTCCGGCTGCTCACTCCGGAGCGGACCCGATGTCTACTTCGAACGAGGAGGGCGATGCGGAGTCAGGCGCACCGCTGAATCTCCCCTCTGCTCCAGAGACTTTCACTTCACCTGCTGCTCCCTCAGTACCCAACCTTCCAGATACGCCCGCGGATATTGGTGCAAAGCCTCCGCAAGCTCGTGCTGACTCGTTCCACTCCTTCCCTCCACCGTCATCCATCCCGCCTTCGAGCCCGTCGGCAGCATCTCACGACGCAAGCTCGTTTTACTCCAAACCGACAAGCAGTGTCGCTCCGCCTCCACCGTTTGTACAGTCTTCCTCTGCGACAGTGCCTGTAGTTTCTCGTCCTACTCCTCAAAGTTTCCCGTCATCCACACCACCTCCACCTGCACCTGCCGCTTCTGGTTCCAGTGGGGTGAACCCTCAGTCACTTGACGATCAGGCCATAGCTCTTGCGCAGAAGCATGCCCGTTGGGCCGTGTCAGCCTTGACCTTTGACGATGTTAATACAGCGATTAAAGAGCTAAAGAATTCACTTCGCTATCTCGGCGCAGAATGAAATGATGTTGGACGAGTGCCTGGGATTTGCAATTTGCACGCTGAAAAGCATAGAAAAAACATCCAACCTGACTGAGCTATGAATATCAAGACCATCTTATGACAAGAACTCATGCTACTTCAAATCTGACAGTATACAGTAATGTTGACGTATTTGTTCCTATCATTCAAAGTAGTTCCTCTTCTACAATATCGCATCTTCGTTCTTCAACTAGTACCTCCTGCTTTCTACTTGCCTGTTGTTTCTGATATGTCTTCTACCAATGTCTTCAGTGTCTTCAGCGTCCATTACCATAGTCCATAAGCCTACGTCTTCCTAGCCGAGGTTGATAATCAGTTCAGAGTCTAGTCCAACATGGCTCAATTGCCAAACAGGCCTATCTGCAGCATGATTGACAATGATCGTACCTGTTCTACAACATGCACCCGATCACGTTATGAGTTCTCTAAGCACTGAATTCTTCTATGTTCACTTCATTCTCCAATCAAATACCTCTCACTCTCACCTCTGCTTCCCAACAAGCACCAAGCCCCTCACATCGCTATAGCGACGACTTTTCACTCACATTCACTTCGCCCCTCAACACCAGATACTATATAAGCATGGCAAGAGCTCGCCTCTTCTTCCCTACCTTCTCTCCCCCATCCTATCCTCCCCGCGTCTTCTTCTCTTTGCCTCTACCTCGAACATACACACTGACACCTCATGTTTCGCTCTCTTCCAGCCAACCCCTTCAAGTACTCCTACCGGGACCGTACCCCAGACCCAAGTACCAACATCATAATGTCTTCTGCCTCAAGCCCTGCCGGCTCCAGCAGTGATGCCGAAACAATGAAAGAACTTCTAGACCGTGGTGAGGTCAAGGCATCCTGGAGAGACAAACAATTCATTCATTTCCTGGACCTCAAGGAAGAGTACGGCCGTGAGTTTCTTGGTCTGGTGAAGGATCATGTTGAGCAGAGCGAATTTGAATGGACAGAGATCCTCAACTCTGAGGACGAGCGACACAACTGCGCTAAGAGTTTCGTCGAAGAGTACGGTCTGAAGTACTGGGGAACTCCAGCGAACAGAAAGAAGTATCTACAGGAAGAATCCCTTGCGGATGAGAAGACGCTTTGCACTTATCCGGCTCAGAGTGAGGAGTAAGTTTTTCTCTTCTTCTTTGTTTACCTTCCATCCATTCTTCGTTCCTTCTTTCTCTCTATCTTACTTTGACACGGATGCTCCCGAATGAGTTGACTGTGCTAATTATTATATAGGATCGCTCGAACAATTGCCATTCTGCTACTTAGGAAGGCGAAGAACTATTCCAGACTAAGTCAAGAGAAGGCAAAGGTCTGCTCTTTTGTTTCATGTTCATATTCCATTCAGTACTAACACATTTCATGGAACGTTTAGCCATTGCAACCAGTCAAATCACCCTTTGAAATGGCTAGTACCAAAAAGAGAAAATCTACTGTCAAGGAGACGGACGAGGACGACACCGACAAGCCTGCATACAAGGCGCGGACCCGCAGTACCCCAAACACCATTCGGCCATTCAAGGCAATCGTCTCTGACTCTGAGCCCGAGGCCGAAATCCAAAACAATACGGCGAAGAAGTCCAAGAAACAGCGCACTTCTCTAGCTAACCGCTACAAGGGAACCCCAGAGGTTCAATTGAAACCTCCCAAAGGGAAAGAGAGTATATCTGCCCCAGTTAAGGGAACATTCGTGCACCGTGCTGCTCCTCACTACACAAAGGACCCCACCACAGAGAGCAACAGCAACCATATTAACATGACTGACGCTGCTCCTCAGTATCCTCAGACGAAGAACACCAAATCCCCTATTACAGAAAGCAACAACCAGATCAATATGACTATGTCTGAGTATGCAAAGGATACCAAGTTCCTCGTCACGGCAAGCAACCAAGTCGGAATGGCTCCCGTGTGGCTACCATTCACGGATTTCGCTGCTCAGGCCACGGACTTCCTAGAGCACATGGCGGAACAGTGCAACGTGATGGAGTGGAGCCCCTCAGCGCAGTTGAAATGGGATTCCATGTCGCCTCAGGTTTTCGCTGCGTCGGTCAGGTTTGACTGGTCGGACTTTGAGATTCGTGTGCGTCGCGAATGTAATGAGGATCTGCTCATTATGTTGCAGGAATTGGATAACGCCTGGCAGGCTGAAGCGAATGCACAGGATGAAGCTTCTTCCTCCGGAGCGGTCTTTAAGATTAGAGTGATGCTTCATGTGGGGACTTCCTGATTGTACTTCTACTTCTTCTTCTGTTGGTATCTATCTATCTACCTTTCTTACATACTGGGGTTGGGTTAGTTGGCATGTTCTTTTGTCTGGATAGGGCTATTGTTTACAGTTGGGCATAGTTGAGGAAAGTTCTTGTATTCACAGTATGGTAGAACTAGGCTAGGCTTTAGTAAACTTTACAGTCCCTGTCTTGTAGAACTTGAATCTAGAACCTGAGTTAAGAGGCCGGTCCAAATCCCGTATAGAGATAGTATCAAACCCCGTGTAGGGCTTGATTGTGGCAACTACTACTCGAAAGTAGAAATGATAAACCGCCTTGCAGTACAGGCTCTAGGCAAAGATAGAGAACTTTTTTTATCCCGTCGTGGGTACAATTGTGAACTTGGTATGATTTGATTTCACCACTACTACTCCGTACTTACTGAATATAACTTACCCCAGAGTTACTTACGTACTAATTTCAGTGTCACCAGGTGTTTCATGGTATTGGTCTGGATGAATTTTCCGGTAGCACATTGTTTGTCACATGTTATTGTCCTTTTAGAGGGCATAGTAGTACGGATAGATTAGTGGCAAGAAAAGAGGGTTTAGTCTGGAAGCGGGTAGGCAACAATGTGCAGAGCGTAAGGATGGTGTGGTGACCAGTTTCAATTTCTTACTGTGTATAAAGTTCCAGCTACTTCTCTAGTTGCATGAAGTGCACGGCAGTAGTGTAGGATAGCTAAGTCCAGCACGAACCACGGGCTGACGATCGGCCACGGTCCATGGTACAGCGAAGCACATCGCCTGGGGAAAAGGAAAAAGGAAAAGGTCGGAGAATTAACGGCAGGCTTTTGACGTCAATTCCTTTCCTTCCTTAATTTCTTTTTTGACTAAATAAGTAAGTATTTGCAAATGCCGAGGCATCTCCGATCCTTTCTGAAGGATTGGGGGGGTTTACGTGGACAGTGTACACCGACTGCATTGTCGGCAATGACATGTAGAACCATTCGCATCATCTTCAGCATCATTATTGGCGGCGTTGTAACAGATGCCATGCTAGAAACGAAATAGGCCAGCATTACCGTAGAGCTTGGCTGTCTTGATTCGGTAGGATATGGGGCGAGCCATGATAACCCCGTCGAGTAAAAAGATCCATTAGCAGACGAAAGCACGAAGCGCATTCGGAATCGCGCGCCGACTAGACCACCTGTTATCCGTAAAACTTGGAATCAAAGTCAATAGCGTCCGCGTTTACCTTTCCACCATCGGGCTTGTCACTGTCGGGAATAATCGCCGGCAATGAATGGTGGAAGGAAAGTAGTTGCTTAGATGCTTCTCTGGAGTCTGGAGGTGACAGTGAGCGGCTTGGGCTTTGGCCTTTCTCAATCCGCCAGAGTGCGTTGCTAGAAGTCAGATGCCGAAGCTATGCGCAGGAAAAGAAACACTAACTGCGCGACGCACAATAATATTAATGATCTTGGAACGATTCCCCACCAGCCCTGACTCGTAATATGAGACGCAGATCATTTGATTATTCCCTGTAGGTGATCACACACTTGCCTTCGCGCTGCTCCCGTCTGGCCGTGTCGCGATCGCTTTTCGGGGTTTAGGAATGATACGTTCGCCTTGTTGTGGTGGCGAGTGATCGTCTGCTTATTCTGGACCTTTCATGTTCCGAAGGGATTCGCGTCTTCTTCGATTCTTCCTGCAGTCCCCATCTCATTGTGCGACCCCCTCCCTCTTTGTTCCTCCACCAACCCCCCTAGCCTCTAAGCCTCTTAGGCGGTTAGGCCTGCTGCTACCCACTTAAGCGGCGGGACTATGATCGGACGGTGTCCCTGAAGAACGGAAAACGTCCCACAACGCGCGCTTGGCAGGGGAGGAGATGAATAATTAATTTGTCGGCTCTGGTCGGGTCTCCCGAGGACTCTAAATTTCCCACTACTGTACGAGGGAATAATCCAGCGGGAACATCCACCGTGCTGGCGAAATTTCTAGACGCAGCGCTAGCGGAGTTCGTTCGGCATACGCTTGGGTTCGTAAGAGAATGAGAGAGACTTTCACTTGAGCTTCCGGTCGTCCAGCGTTATCCGCGGTAATTGTGTTTCTCGGCCTCCGGGAAATCATAGGGTGACGATAATAATGAAGGATGGAGCTTGATTGTAGTTAAAGAGGAGTTTGCCAAGGGCTAACGCTGGATTATTGCCTTTGGAAAAATAGTAGTGTGTTTGGAGGGGTTATCTGAGGCCAGTTATAGTCTGTAAGTGCAATGCATTCGCCATCTGGGCATCCTCGGTGAGGTCTAGGTTTTCTCTTTTGAGGGTTGGAAGACCATTCTAGCCGTCAGACGAGAGAAGTGAGATTGGGCATCAGCAACAAGAACATCACTATTTCCGAATGTTGTCAAAAGAGGGCAGCTGTCTCAGTCGGGGACGATAGTGGACAGTGTAGTGCAGCCATGGTCAAGCCATGACAGTCTTAAGGGTATGACTATGAATTATTAGCTCGTTTCTTTATCTATCTAGCTTTGAGTTGAGTGTATGACGAGATTCCTGAAGGAGGAGGAGGAGAAGTGGACTGAAACTGGGCCTGGGACTGAAGTTGATCTGAGCGAGAGCAGGTGATTCTGATAAATGGTTTTTAATCCCGGAAAAGGATCATCCTGTGCTCCTCCTGCTCCTCCTCCTTCTCCTCCTCCTTCTCCTCCTCCTCCTCTTCTTCTTACGTTCTTCCCATTCTTCCTTCCGCTTCCTCCTTTTCTTCCTCCCCTTTTAACACCTCCTGTGGAATTTAACTCAAACCTTTCGGTGACTTCTTGCCGTCGGTAAATACTACATCTGATTAACTGTCATCGAGCTCCTTTTTGTCCCTTACTTGGTGATCCTCTCTCTGCTTCCCCTCCCCCTTTTCCTCCCCGCATTCTTCGATTTTGTTCGCGCTCGGGTGCGGGGTGTCAACACAGCCAGCAGTCCACAGATCGCATCGAGGCTACTTGAAGTGAAAAGTACCACAGAGTGGTCCTATCTTGGTTTCAATCTCTTTACTTTATCATTATCCTCCCACAATGGCCGACGAACAGAGCAAAAAGCCGGCCGTCCTGATCGTTGGTGGTTTAGGTATGCATCACCCCTCCCCTCCCTCTTCCCGATACCCGATTATTCTAGCTAACATACTAATTCCCATCTTATAGGATTTATCGGTCGCCATCTCGCTCTTTACCTGCATGAAAATAACTTGGCTTCGGAAGTTCGACTAGTTGATAAAGTCCTGCCTCAGCTGGCCTGGTTGGCCCCTGAGTTCCAGGAAGCTTGCTCAAAAGATAAATTCGTCCAGGCTGATGCCAGCCGTGAACGTGAGTGCCCATACACCTTTTTTTTTTTATGTCATAGGCGACCAGGACAATAGTCTTACTGACCTGCGTCTCCGAAACTCAGAGCACTTCCCTCGTATCTTTGACCGTGCCAATGGCGAACAATTTGATTATGTGATCAACTGTGGAGGTGAGACCAGGCATTCGCAACCCGATGACGTCTACGAAGTCCGCAGCTACGCCCTCACAGTCGCCTTGGGTCGCGAAGTCGCCCGCCGAGGTATCCGCTCTTTCGTTGAGTGCTCAACCGCTCACGTCTACAAAGGCGGCTCGAGTCCGCGTAAGGAAGATGATAAACTGCAGCCGTGGCACAAGCTGGCCAAGTGGAAGATGAAGGCCAGCGAGGAGCTGCAAAAGATCCCCGGTCTCAACTATTGCTTGCTTCGTCTGCCCCACGTCTACGGAGAATATGACTCGGGCTACTTCGCAATGGGAATATGCCTTGCTCGCGTTCACCTGGAGCTCGAGAAGGATCTGGAGCTTCTTTATACTAAGGATCTGAAGATCAACACCGTATATGTCAGGGACGCAGCCAGCGCCTTGTGGAAAGCGGCTGAGTGGAGAGCAAACGCCCCCACGGACGGTTCAGCGCCCCTTGCATTCAACGTGGTCGACCACGGCGATACTCGCCAGGAAGATATCGCAAAGGCTCTCTCTGAAGTTTTCAAGCTCAAGTGTGACTTCTTGGGCTCTTTAGCTTCCCAATTCGCGAAGCTGAACCTTGATGATGTTGTGGATGACATGAACGAGGAATGCTTACAGGGATGGGCTGACTTGCTCGAAGAGAAGAAGATCGAACGGCCTGGACCCATTGGCCCATTCCTGGAGAAGGATGTACTGAAGGACCAAGACATGTGTCTGGATGGGACGCTATTCGAGACGACCACTGGATGGAAGCCATCCCGAGAGCGCTTCGACGCCGATGCCGTACGAGACATGGTTGAAAGTTACAAGCGAATGGGCTGGTGGCCATAGACGACCCCACACGTGATATTCCTGTTTTCATGTTCTCGACCCGGCCTCTACACGAGCATAACAGCGAGGTTGATGACGCATATGAGAGCTATTCCTACTCCCACCGTGCATGACCACGCATTGCCCTCTCAGAACACACCAACTCGACCTTATCCTCGGGCAAAAAGCACATAGACCTGTCGCATCCGCATCCACTCATCTCAAGTTCGCATGTTGTATACCACGGACCGTTTCTGCATGTAATCTGTAATATTCTGTTTGGGTCTCTGGGTTTCCGTTCTTGAGCAACTGGTATGTTCTATATCCTTCTTGCATTTATACATTCTTCTGTCACTGGCTGGGGCTGGATGGTGTGCCCTTTTGATTATGAACATCATGCACATCTTAGACTACTTCTATCTTTCTTCTTTTATTTGTTGCACTACATACACTACGGATAGGTTGAGCCTTGTCCTTGAATGTTAACCTCAGGCCGCCATCCCTCATGGCCGTCTTTTACCATCATTTACATAATCCAGCTTGTCTCAGTCTGCGTACTTTGGATACATGCCCACTCACTCCCCTCTCACCCTTTACTCCAATAAATCCCTTCAATTTTCTTCTCCACTTTCACGATGCATGACAGAACTCTTAATGTCAGCTATAAGTGTGGTATGCCGATCGCTAGGGCCCAGAACCCCTCAATTTTGAAAATTTGGCGTTCAGAAACTGGAATATAGCGTCATCATATATCTACTCCGTACCATATCCTTCTTGCATCACATGATTTGCAACAGGCCACTTTAGTAGCATGGTAACTTTGTAGCAGTTCTGATTTAGACTAAGCTTGTTCGCCAACTATCAGACTATCATACTGGCTAGCTCCGGACGAACTTATAAACACTGCCACTGCAGCATACAAACACTAATGATTTGATCATAGGAATACTAGTATGATTCTCAAAAGGTTTAAAACCAAGCTAAGAATTACACCAATCATGACGCGGTTTTGGTTGTCAGTTCCTACAAAGATTACTAATAAGCACTAAGCTATCAAGCGAGTTATAGACTCGTGATTTCATGTTACCACTGTATAACGTTCAGATGCCTTATGTGAATCTGTATATATTGATGATATATTGATAGCTGTATCGAGTTTCCCGGATGTATAACTCTTTTTCTTTTTCTTTATTCTTCTTATCTTCATCTGTAGGGTCAATGGAGGGCTAAAACTTGAAACGAAGGGGGAGAAATGTCCAAGACGTAGCGAGAACCAAGACCAGAGGTGGGCAAGTAAACTGGTGATGCTGAAGATAAGCCCTCTTGCATGTTCATCGTAATGAATCGAGACAGTAGATTGAAGCGGGGTGTACAGCGACAAGAAGGCAGGGGTGGCTTTTGGGAGAGAGATGTGGCAAGCAAGGAAAAAGAGAAAAAAAAAGTTAGAGAAAGAACAATAATATAAGGCTCCAAGAATGCATTATGCGTAAGACAATCCGTTTTACCACCGGTGTAGGCAAAGAATATAGTAGAGGAAAATAAAACAAGGAAACACTCTGCATCCGGAGTCAGGCTCAATGGACCGAGCGGGGAGGATTCGCAAAATCAAGGTGCGACGCGGTCGAGGGAATCTTAGAATTCCCAATCCTCGTCGACCGACTTGATGGCCCATTCGAACTTCTCCCGGAGGGACTTGGAGAAAAACTTCTCAATAGGAACATCAAACTTCTTGCTGAAAACCACAGTAAGACGAGGGTCGATGTAGTTCTATGTGGTGTTAGTCAATCAAGAACCATCAGCCATAGCAAGGGACAGGAACTTACGATCTTCGAGGTTCCTAGAGCGACCTCCTTGTTCTCTTCCTTATCCTGAGCTTGAAGCTCCATCGTTTCAATGCGCTGCTCGAGCTTGGTGATCGCTGCCTCGAGCTTATCAACCGTCGGGGACTTGCCTTCGGCTTCCACCTTTCCGGTTTTGTTCTCCTTGTTGAATTTCTTCTCCATATCTTTTGCTGCCTGGAGACGGCTCTCCAGCTCAGTGGCCTTCATTTCCTTCTCGCCTTCTGCAGCGAGCTTCTCATTGTCCTTTTCGAACTTCTTCTGAATTTTCTGGCGCTGCTCTTCCACAAGGTAGGCCTGGTGCTCCTTCACCCATTCCATGTCCATGTCTTCGTCCATTTCGAAGTACTTGGCGCCTTTCTTCTTCTTTAGACTAGGCTCGAGATCGAGCATCTGTTGCTTTAGACGCCATCTTTGGTACCGTAGTCCCTTGATCTAAAAAATATTGCGAATAAGTATTAGCAATGCGGCCCAACTATAGTGTTCACCACTGGTCAACATACCCTTTCACTCATCTTCTCCATTTGATTGGCATGGGATGCAGCGACAGTTCGCTTATGGTTACAAAGAATGGCGACCCTGCGGTTGGCGTCATTGTACGCCTTCACCTTCTCTGCAATGTTACCCGTCGCCTTCATGTCCTTCAGCAGCGTGGACATAGTGTGGGAAGCGTTGTAGGTACGGAACACCTTTGCAGTCAATCCTTGCATGTAGGCCGACAAGTGCTTGTTGAGGGCGGAGGTCTACGTGCGTCAATTAGCGGTGCAATCCAAGAGCCAGTCGAAGTACATACCGTCAGTCTATCAAAGATTTCGTCGCCCTCCTTCTTGGGCGCTTTCTTGAAGATCTTCAAGTTCTTGAAAACCTGGGTGTCGACCTCGACTTCATCATAGAAGCGGATACTGTCCTTACCCAAGAAATCAAAGACAACCTTGTTTGGAGGCTTGAGAGTAACGTTCTCATACTTGAGAGAGCAGCATCCCACAGTCTCAGCTTCGTCTTCACCCTTCTCGTTACCAGCACGAAGAGCAAACTGGTCAATAAGGTATACTGCCGTCGCCTTTTGCCGCTCGACCATCAGCTCGTGCTTGAGGTTCTTCTGATAATCTTTGCGGATCCGATCAATGTGATGCTTCAATTCACGAGCCTTCTCGAACTTCTTGTAATCACTCTGACCCTTCACATCAGAATTGGCCGCAAGCATAACATACTTGTAGTTTCCATTGATGTTTTCCTGCCACATTGCAAGCCAGGTGCCTTCTTGATCGTGCTTGACCTCTTTCCACTTGTGGCCCTCCGGAGGAGGCGGAACAGGCGCATCTTTGCCGATATTGATGGTGATCTGTTCCGGCTGCACACGAGACTTCACACGGCCAGTTTTGGGATGCTCACCACGTCCACGGAAGAGAGCTGGCGGTTCCACTCGGAAGTTGCCCACTTTCTGCTTCCGTCCGTCCCACATACAATACATGTAAGGGGCCTCTTGAGCGTCCTTTTCAGCCTTCAAACGCTTCTTCTCAGCCGGCGGCAAAGCCTTTTTCTCTTGCCGTTGATTATCGTAGTAGGCAAAGATTGGCTGAAAGTCGCACTTGTGAAAATCTTTGATGTCCACTTTATTGCCCTTGGGATCCTTTGCGCCACCAGTCTTCTTAAGGATATCTCGGAAATCCATGAAGAAGTTTTTCTGGAAGGTGGGGTTCTCAACATGCTGAGTCGCATTGAGCATGCCGCCGAAGAAGCCAGCCACCTCTTCAGCATCAGGATGAAGAGTGACGGGGACGCCATCATACTTCATCTTGACGTTCTTGGGAAGTGGCTCGTACGGAGGAGGGAAAACCACGCCGTTATGTTCAAGGGTCGTCCACTTGATCGTGCCATCACCCTTGGTCGGGTCTTCCCACCATCTGTACTCTTCTTCCTCGGCGTCTTCAGCCTCCTCGCTTTCTTCCTTTTTGACAGGGGTCGACTTGGCGCTAGAGGCAGCCCGCTTCACATGCGAAGGCAACGCAGCCTTCTCACTGGCCTTGGTTGGCTTGGCCGTCTTCTTGACGGTCGAAGGCTTCACGTCCTCGGGCTCTTTTTTCACGCCATTGGCCTGTCTCTTGGTTGCTGTGGCCTTCGTAGTCTTCGGGGGGGCTTGCTTGCGGGTCGCTTTCGCATCCTTCTCTGCCTTCTGCTGTATCTTCTTCTTCTGCGAGGCGAGTTTTCTTTCGATGGGCACATCGGAATCGGATTCTTCACCTATAGCCGTCTCCGACGCCTTGGGAAGCTTTCTTCCATTAAGCGCCAGAGGTACGTCATCGTCCGTTTCGGGGTCCTCGTGCTTCACGGAAGTGCGGCGTCGCTTGCTCTGTCGACTGGTCAGCCGCTGGAACGAACAGCGACAGCAATAGCGTCGCGAGAGTAGGGGGAACGAAGGAACTGGCGTGGAGGTAATCGGCGTACCAAAGGTTGATCATCCTCACTGCTCTCAGGTTCGGCGTAAGACTTTCTCTGACCGACGCTTGAGCGCGACTTCCGCTTGGGAACGGCGGCAGCGTCGGCATCGGCCATGTCCACATCATTTTCAGCCTGAACGGGACCAAAGCGGATGGATACGCCTGGATCAACATGGCCATTTGTCTCCGTCGCGTCGCGCATTTTCGAGTCCGTGTGGGAACCTTAAAAAACAAGAGAAAGTGTAAGACTTATCGCATTCATAAGGGGTCAAGGAGACCAATGCGCAAAAAGAGGTAATTGAGTCGCGAATTTTGACTCCAAACAAAGGGAAGTGATGGGTAACTGAGGCGTGAAAGAGAGGCGGGAAAGGGTCATGTGAGAGCAAAGAGAGGAAAGTAACACTCACTGGTACGGCGACCATTTGCCTTGACAAGCGGGGTATCGTCTTCCGAAGAGCTCATGGTTGCCAGGCGATTGATGGAAAAAGCGCGTGGGCCCAAGGAGCGAGTAGATAGGCAAAACCGGGGTGGGAGAGCGCAGGGGCGCGCGCGAGAGAGGGCGAGTCTGCGGACCGGAGCTGGCGCTTGAAGGAGTGATGAAAGCAACGGCAGCCTGGCCAATGGGAAGGCTGATGGCAACGAGAATGCGTCTACTAAAAGGGAGAGACAGACATAGACCGAATAGGGAAAGACGGAAGGAAAACGAGAAACCGGAGAGGGGAGGGTGGAAAGAGACTCGAGCGGG